ATCATGGGTCTGGACGACTCGGTATCGGAGGAGGAGTTGGTGGCCGCCGTCACCAAGTCCGGGGGGTGCACTACGGACCAGGTCAGGTCAGGCGCCATACGCCCGGACCAACAGGGTGTGCATGCCACCACGGTATGCTGCCCTGTTACGGCGGCCAAATCCATGGTGGAGGGCCGAAGGCTTCTGGTGGGCTGGGTCTCAGCGCAGGTTAAGCTGCTGGAGCCCAGACCTCTGAGGTGCTATCGCTGTCTCGTGGGGCACCACGTATCAGTGAGATGCGCCTCGGAGGTTGATCGCAGTGGCCTTTGCTTCCGCTGCTGTCAGCCCGGACATATATCGGTGACCTGCTGCACCACGCCGCACTGTGATGCATGTGCGGCGACCGGCAAGCCAGCCGATCACCGGGCCGGAAGCAAGGCCTGCGTGCCACCCGCCAAGGCCAAGGCCGCGGGTAGGGGAGGCCCCTCCGCCACCACCGCTTCTGTGGCCTCCGCCGCAGCCGCAACTGCCGCTGTCACTGTCGCCGCTGCCGCCGCTGCGACACCGACGCCCGCACAGGGGCCCCCCGTGGAGGAAGCTGAAATGGAATGCCTATAACGGCCCCATTAAGCTTCCTCCAGGCGAATATCAACCACTACGCCTGCGCTCAGGATCTGTTGCTCCAGAGCATGACGCAGTGGTCGATTAACATCGCTGTGGTCGCTGAGCCGTATTTTGTCTGGCCTAGGGAGGACTGGGTGGCGGACCTTAACGGCTCAGTTGCCATCATCTCTTCGGCCGCCGCCGGTACCCCGACCCTTGAAGATGTCAGGAGGGGTCAGGGGTGCGTAGCAGCACGGTTCGGGGAGTTCGTCGTTGTGGGGGTGTACTTCTCCCGAACCGATCTCTCGCCGTGCTCCACAACTCTCTTGCAGAGCTGATAGCAGTCGTCGTCGGAAGTTATCCCTCCCCGTACTTGTCCTCGGGGACTTCAATGCCAAGAACTTGGCTTGAGGTTCTCGTCGTACAGATGTGCAGGGTAGGATGGTGGAAGACTGGGCTCTGGAGACAGGCCTGGTCGTCCTAAATCGGGGTTCTGTCCCCACGTGTGTGCGGATGCGGGGCGAGTCGGTGGTGGACATCTCGTTCACTAGCCCCGCTCTGTCGCCACGTGCCATTGACTGGCGTGTCATGGAGGGGGTGGAGACCTACTCCGACCACCGGTACATCCGGTTTGACGTCTCCACCCAGCCCTCGAGCGCGCCAGTCCAACAGGCCCCGAGTGGTCCGCTTTGGGTGCTGAAGCAGCTGGACCGGGAGCTCCTCCTGGAAGCCTCGATCATGCAGGCCTGGGTGTCATCACTGGACAGACCTGCCGACGTCAATGATGAGGCAGGGTGGTTCCAGGAGGCCATGTCTGAGATATGTGACGTGGCAATGCCCCGCGTCCGGCCAGGAAGCGCCCGGCGTCAGGTGTATTGGTGGTTGCGTGAGCTGACGTCTCTGCGCGAGGCGTGTGTCGCCGTGCGGTACCTGTACGCCAGGCATCGCAGGCTTCGCATTCGTCCACCGAATGCGGCAGCCATTGAGGCGGAGCTGTACGAGGGATACAGAGCGGCGAAGACCGCCCTCCGGGAGGCTGTCCTGCGGGCCCGGGATCGGGCCCGTGAGGAGATGCTGGAGACTCTCGACAGAGAACCATGGGGGCGCCCTTACAAGGTGGTGCGGGATAAACTCCGCACCTGGGCCCCCTCGCTGACGCAGAGTCTCCGGCCCCAGCTCGTGGAGGACGTGGTGAGCGCTCTGTTCCCTGCGCGAGGGGAACATCCGCCCCCGCCTATGGCTCCGCCACCTGCGGTGCCGGAAGCGGACCACCAGGACGACGACGACGACATCCCGGAAGGGACCGGGGTAGACCTGAGAGTGGCGGTACGTAGGCTCAAGGCCAGGAATACCGCCCCAGGACCCGATGGCTTGCCCGGCAAAGCCTGGGTCCTGGCCTCGGAGGCTCTCGGGCCCCGACTAGAGGGGCTCCTAAGCACATGCTTAGAGAGAGGCCAATTCCCGCTTCGTTGGAAGACGGGGAAGCTGGTCCTCATTCGGAAACCGGGGCGCCCTGCGGACTCTCCGTCCGCATACTGGCCCGTGGTGCTGCTCGACGAGGTGGGCAAACTCTTTGAAAGAGTCATTGCAAACCGCCTCGCCGAGCACCTTGCGGGGACGGGGCCGGATCTTGCGGAACACCAGTTTGGTTTCCGCAAGAGGCGCTCTACGTTGGACGCCATCATGCGCATGAGAGCCCTCACGACGGGGGATGAAGTGGCCAGAGGGGGGGGGGGGTTGGGGGGGGGGGGTTGGGGGGGGGGTTGGGGGGGTTGTCTTGGCCGTGTCTCTCGACATCGCCAACGCCTTCAACTCCATGCCCTGGAGCTGCATTAGGGAGGCACTCCGATATCACCGGGTGCCGATCTCCGTCGTATAGTCGGGGACTATCTGACGGACAGAGCCGTCATCTACCCCGGTCGCAACGGTGAGTGGAACCGGCAAGAGATGTCGTGCGGTGTCCCACAGGGTTCGGTTCTGGGGCCACCTCTGTGGAACTTCGGTTACGACTGGGTGCTGCGCGTCGACCTCCCTACCGGCGTCAGCGTAGTTTGCTACGCTGACGACACGCTTGTACTGGCACAAGGGGGGGTCGTACGAGGCGGCGGCGGAAACTATGACACGCGTGGTTGCGATAGTCGTTGAGAGGATTCGGCAACTGGGTCTCGAGGTGGCTCTGCACAAGTCCGAGGCCATGCACTTCCATGGTCCTCGGAACAGGCCACCACCGGGATCCTCAGTGATGGTTAGGAGGGGTATCCATCGGCGTCGAGTCGACGCTGAAGTATCTAGGACTCGTCCTCGACGGCCGATGGAACTTCGTTGAGCACTTCCGACGTTTGGCTCCCAAACTGGAACGGACCGGGGCTGCCTTCAGGCGGTTCCTGCCGAACCTGGGGGGACAAAACGCCTCCTGCCGGAGGCTCTACGCGGGGATCGTGCAGTACATGGCCCTTTACGGGGCCCCAGTGTGGCGCGTGGTTTGGCGCGGCTTGCCGTCCACCACTTGAACGCGCCCCAAAGGGTGGTTGCCGTGAAAATGGTTCGCGGCTACCGCACGATCTCCCGCGAGGCGGCGAGCCTCCTTGCCGGATTGCCGCCATGGGATCTGGAGGCGATAGTCCTCGCACGCCTGCACGAATGGCGCGCGGAGGCACTATGCCGGGGGGAAACCCCGCTGCCGCGGCAAGTTGTCGCGCAGCGGACAGACTTCCGGCACGATCTCATGGCGACATGGAGAGAGCGACTGTCGCAACCCCGTGCTGGGCACGCCACTATAGCGGCGATAAGACCCCTCTTTGAGGAGTGGCTTGGAAGACGCCACGGCGTCCTCATCTTCCGCCTGACGCAGGGCCTCACCGGACACGGTGTGTTCGGGAGGTTCCTGCACCGAATCGGGCGGGAGGAAACGCCCGGGTGCTCCCACTGCGAGGATGGACCGGAGGACACGGTGGAACACACCGTGGAGGTGTGCCCTACTTGGGCGGAGCACCGCCGTGTCCTCGTAGCGGCGATAGGCGGCGGCGACCTCTCGCGTCACCACCTTCTGCGAAGCAGTGATGCTAGCGAAGGAGGTGGCGGAGCGGGAGGAGGAGAGAGCAGCAGCTTTCCTCCCCGGCCGCCGCAGGAGAAGCCCCGGGCGTCGGGGGCTACGTCGTGGCCCCCGGCCACCCTAGGCGCGGGCCTGTGGACGGCGAGCAATGGGTAGCTCGCCGTCCGTCCGTCTAACGACGTCAGGCCGTGTCGACGGCGCGTTTTGTTCCACGTGCGCCTCAAAGAGCTGTCAGCAGCGTGAAGGGGCCCGCATGGGCCGACGCCTACCAGGGCTGCGGGCTATTCGGAAGAGATACCGCGGCTCCGGAACGTAAGGGCACTGAAGGAACATTTAAAAAAAAAGGGTCTGTTTTGACCTTTTTGTATGTACTTTCGTCCTATAAAAGTTGTTGTATATTAGAATTATATTCTTATGTGTCCATTCTTACCGTAGCATTTCATTTATCTGTGCGGAGAATCATAAGTTCTGGTCTGTTGCGTAAGTTGTACAACGCTTCAAATTTGTCTTTGGGGAGATTTAGTTTCGGCGACGTATGACCTCTAAATCTTCCTTACCGATATTATTCTGAACAGGCAATTCTCAACACTACAGATAATTTTTTCGTACGGGATTCTGCGCGGTATAAGTGCAAGCATTTTGATAATAATTTTGCTGTCTTTTTTTTCTTTTTTTTTTTCAAGTACAAAATATACTTTCGATAGATTATAGACCGTGCATTGTTTATTTTTCGAGTCTAAGGTCAACGTTGATATGGATGTTTGCCATTTGATTTGATCGCTATATTTTTAATGTTATTCAAGTTGATTGGATCGCGATTTTTTATTTGGTGATAATATAGCACTACGTGTCGCGTGTACGCGTGCCGCATGCGTTTGTTTTGTTTACATGAATATAATTTATTATTATTATTCACGCGTGAGTCGTAACGAAATAATAGTGAACTTAATTACTTCTGATTCAATTAATAATTGATTGAAAGTGAACTAGTGGTTATTTTATTCAGAGCCGTGGTAGCTCAGATTGTTAGCGCTCGCTGTAAATATAACAGAACGCAAACCCGGATTCGATCCCCGCCGGCACCAATGAAATTGTTAATTGCAATTTTAAGTGCTGAATACCACGTGCTCGGCGGTGAAGGAAAACATCGTGAGGAAACCTGCATGTCTGAGGAATAAAAAAAAATATTTCGAAGACATGTGAAGTGCGCCAACACGCAATGGGGCAGCGAGCGGACACTTCCTTGCCCTAAAACCCTCTCAGAAAAGAGAGGAGGCATGTGCCCAGCAGTGGGACGTATAAAGGCTGTAACTTTACATTACTTTACTTTAGTGGTTATTATAAAACTAATATAGTATACTAAGCAATGGATAATGAAGATCAGGTGAGTACAAAACCTATAAATATGTACTATTACTAAAAAATAATAAAATTACTAATAATGTACGAAGCACAACAAACAAGCACATAGTCCACCTGATGGTAAGTGGTTGCTGTGGCCCATAGACATCTAAATCTATCCTTGTTTGCGAATCAAAACGCAGATGCGTTGTCACCCGTGAGGGCTAAGATGGAATGCCTCTTTTCAAGTAAAAAGGGTCTCCGGCTCTGTACACTCACCATACGAAACACAGCAGCGGTAAGCTGCTATTTAACGCTGGTATTCTGTGAGAGCGTGTTCTTTCCCCGGTCGAGCCGACCCATTCGTGCTTTAACTATACTACTAATATAGCTGCAGCATGGCTCTACCACGTAATACTAAATACTTACTATGTTTTATATTGTCGAATCATGTGGTGCGGTTTAGTGATTTTATTGGTTATAGTATTTAAACATGTTGTGAACTTAAAAGTATATACTTTGGTTTTTTCCAGAATGTTATATTCACCCAGTGACTCAATAAACGACGTAAACTTGCCAATCTTCGAAATTTGATTTAGTCCCGCAGTGATCAAGCTAAAGCTAGCCAAGGAGGTGATTTAATGGCTGGTAAGTTAACTACATTTCTACTCGTTTTGGAAGCAAATGCTTTGAAAAGCTAAATATATAAATTATAACTGTTTTACATTTAATTTTTCTTTTTATAGAGAAAAAGACACGAGATCTATACGAGGATACTAGAGCAGGACCAAGTTATTGTGATAAGATGATAGGACATGCAGTCGATGCGCGTATATTTGAAAGTGCCTGTTTAGGTAAGTACCCATTTACTTTATTTATAGGAGAGGGGGCAATCGAGCATGCGGCTCACCTGATGGTAGATGACTACCGCCGCCCATGAACAACTGCAATACCAGGGGAATTGCAGATGCATTGCTGGTCTTTTAAAAAGGAGTAGGCTCTTTTCTTGAAGGTCCTTAAGTCGTATCGGTTCGGAAAACTTCTTATAAATCGCACAGTGGTGGACCGTCAGTCATCCAGATGGTATGGATGGTATCGCGAGTATTGTCGCGATGTGCAGTGGTGCAATAGAGCGGCTGGAATTAGTCCGAACAATTCCTCAGAGCACTCCCCTTGGTAGATGTGATAAAATACGCAAAGAGATGCAACATCTCTACGCAGTGCCAGTGAGTCAAGCCGATCGGAATAAACTCTGTCGTCGACGATTAGAACCGCTCTGCGCTGGATGCGGTCAAGTTGAAGGAGCTGGCACTACGGAACCCCTGCCCAGAGATGGGAACAATATTTCATGTGGGACCGAACCTGCGCCTTGTAAAGTTGCAAGCGGTGTACCGGTATGAAATACTGTCCCGCTTTGCTCAGCACGCCAAGCTTTTTAGAGGCCAATCTGGCCTTCTCTTCCAAATGACCATGAAACTGCACATCACTCGATATGTCGACACCGAGAATTACTTTAATTAATTATTAATTATTTATCTACTTGTTGTTTTATGAATATCAGTTTAATAGTATTTATTAAAATCCATGTCCATAGTAATACCTATTATAAATTCGTAGTATCTTGTATTTGTCAGTTTGTTTGTAATTCTTTCATGGCTAAAGCGGTAAACCGATTGTGAAGACTTTTTGAGCAGTGACACTAGGACCTGGGGAGGACATTAACTCTATTTATACTAGATGCGAATGAAGTCATGATAGTAATATATAAAAATGCAGTATAATAAGTAACTGTACCTTCTTATATTATCGATTAGAAACAAAAACAATAATTTTTAAATCTGTTAAAATTTAAATTGATATTGTAAATTGTTAATTTTACATACGTACAAAAATATTATTTTGCAAATCTGAGCCGAGAAATTTCAGATTATGATAGTGATGATAGCGTTAAAGACAAGACTTATGAACCACATAAAGATATTTTGGATGACAGCTACGTCAGTGATTCGCCAGAAAAAGTATTCGTAATATCCAGGTCTTTAAAAGTGAAAAGGAAGCTTTCTTTTTCAGAAGAATCGCCTCAAAGACAAAGTAAAATGGCAAATAATGAAGATAATAATTTAATTACTTTAGAAAATCTTCTAGGTCCAAGAAAAGAACGCATGTCTGCAACTTTAGTTTTTTGTGAAAGTTCTAAAGAACACGACCGTTTTTCTGCTGCCGTGACTAGGCAAATAGTTCCTACTGTTTATTCGTCAATAGACAACCTTAATAAGTCTTCGTTATTTGATCAATGTAGTCCTAAATTAGCGAATTTCAATAATATTGTTACGCGCTCAAGTCGACGATACACTAGCGCCATCTAGTGTCAGGAACGAGAGCGAGGGGAGCATTGAGAAAATGACATCACAAATCACTCAACCGACAGCGCCTAGTCGAAACTCGAACGCTCGGTACCTTGCGCGTGTTTACTTGAACATTCCGGATTTCTTTGCTAATTTAAATAAATAGGCGCTGCAAGATGCGATCGGGGGAGTAGTGTTGATTTGGCGAGACAAGCGAAGCTTCGGAGCGGAATAAAGTGAATTAGTGTGTTTAATTATTAGTTTTTTAAGTTTTAATTTGTGTAAAGTAAATTAAAGTGTTAATTTAGGTAATTTTATCGGCAATTTTTATTGTCACGAACCTCAAGCTCGTAACAATTGGTGTCAGAAGTGGGACAAAATCATGCCGATTTTACCTAAGGAGGAAACGGAGGGTGTCCGTACCCGAAGTCAACGCCAGCAGGAGACGGACCAACGAAGATTTGGTGGTGCAACGCCGCAGACGTCGGAGGGCCAGCCACCGGCTGCAGGCCCGGCGGTAGCTCCTATATCTGCAGCACCTGACTTAGGTGCTCTGATGGTGATGCTGCAGCAGCTGCAGAGCGGACAGGATGAACAGGCCCGCCGACAAGAGGAACAGGCCCGCCGACAGGAAGAGCAGATGCTCCTTATGAAGGACCTTCATGCTACCTTTGGGAAAGAGATAAGGGAGGTGAAGGATAGGGTTGCTCAACATGACAACCGCCTGTCGGAAGCTGAAACCCAAATCAAGGAAGCTAAAACCCAAATCGACCAAGTGAACAATCGGGTTGATTACGTGGTGGCTGACGTGAAGAAAACGCTGGACGACCTCAAACTTGGTGATGGAACTACAGCTCCCGTAGTAGCTACTACACCTTCGCTACGTGGGTTCAAAGTGCCACCGTTCGACGGGACTTCTTCCTGGTCAGCCTACAAAATCCAGTTCGAGGCTGTTATGAAGGCGAACGGCTGGAATAAAAGTCAGGCAATGACTGCTCTCACACTAGGCCTGCGCGACCAGGCCTTAACAGTTCTGGAAGCTCTCGGGGAGGAAGTGACTTATGAGCAACTCCTTGAGGCATTGGAGGCGAGATATGGCGACGCTCACCTGGAACATGTCTTTCGTGCGCAGCTTAAAGATCGCGTGCAGCGCATCAACGAAAACCTGCAGCAGTGGGCTCTAGAGGTGGAGAAGCTGGTGCGGAAAGCATACCGGTCTGTACCTGCGCTCATTGAAGGGAACCTGGTGCAGACATTCATCGACGGCATCCGCGACCTGGAAGTCAGAGCTGCTGTGAGTCTCGGGCACCACGAGACGCTTAAGAACGCCTTGGCCCATGCACTGGAGGTGGAAGCCGTGCGGCAGGATCATCGTTCCTATCGCGTCAGGGAGGTTGCAGCCGCTACAGTCCGTGACCGCAGCAAAGGATACAGCCCTAGGTGCTATGGCTGTGGGGAAAAGGGCCATCTTCAATCCAGCTGCCCTAAACGAACCGTGGAAAGGAGAGTTGATCGATCTCGAGAGGGTAGTGCAGCTAACGGCACTGCCTGGCGGCGACAGGATCATCGTTCACCTCACGCTAGGGGAGGTTACAGCAGTTACGGTTCGCGACCACAATAAAAGATACAGCCCTAGGTGCTATGGCTGTGGGGAAAGGGGCCATCTTCGGTCCAGCTGCCCTAAGCACACCCTAGGAAGGGAAGGTGAACGGTCTCAGAAAGGAAGTGCGGCTAACAGCACCGCCCAGCAGCAGCAGGAATACGACTTTACTATCAGACACTGCAGCGGGAAATCTCACGGCAACGCAGATGCATTGACAAGAAGACCTTGTCCTGAAGATTGCAACCATTGTAGTAGGCAAGAGAGTAAGGAAGTGGTATCCGTGAGGATGCTCAGGACAGACCACCTCAGCAACGGGTGGAAGGACAGCCTACGACATGCACAGCAGGAAGATCCGGACATCAAGCCGATTCTGGGATGGATGAAGGCCCGTGCTACCAAGCCTAAGTGGAGGGACGTCTCAGCGATGAGTTCAACCACGAAAAGCTATTGGGCCCAATGGGACAGCTTGCTGATTCAGGATGGAGTCCTGTGCCGTAAATGGGACAATGGTCGAAGAGACAGCTGTCGTTTGCAAATGGTTGTCCCTAAAGCTAAAGTGCCGAATGTTCTACAGCTGTGCCATAATGGTCGTTCAAGAGTCCATCTGGGAGTTAAACGAACTCTACTGAAGGTCCGAGAACAGTTTTACTGGGTCCATTATCGTGACGATGTCGAGGATTGGTGTCGTACATGCACAAGTTGTGGGCCTTGCGCGGACCTCAGACACGTAGTAGAGGAGCACCGAAATTGTACAATGTTGGTGCACCACGGGATAGGACAGCCCTTGACATTGCGGAGCCGTTACAGAAAGGCGCAAGAGGGACTCCTAAGATCGTCCATGTGGATCGCTTGGCGCGTTATTATGGGGCCGATAATGCTCGGGACGAGCATGTCTTAGGAGGGGCAGTGTTACGCGCTCGAAAGTCGACGATACACTAGCGCCATCTAGTGTCAGGAACGAGAGCGAGGGGAGCATTAAAAATGACATCACAAATCACTCAACCGACAGCGCCTAGTCGAAACTCGAACACTCGGCACCTTGCGCGTATTTACTTGAACATTCTGGATATTTCTTTGCTAATTTAAATAAATAGGCGCTGCAAGGTGCGATCGGAGGAGTAGTGTTGATTTGGCGAGACAAGCGAAGCTTCGGAGCGGAATAAAGTGAATTAGTGTGTTTAATTATTAGTGTTTTAAGTTTTAATTTGTGTAAAGTAAATTAAAGTGTTAATTTAGGTAATTTTATCAGCAATTTTTATTGTCACGAACCTCAAGCTCGTAACAATATGATTATGGTTCAAGAACGGGTGAGTACATCTGCTGATAAGAAAAACCTTTTAAACTGTAATTTAACAGACAGGGATCCTACAACAGGCTTTTTAACTCTACAAATTTTTGATAAAAGTATTATTTCTGATGCTACTATGTATGAAAATATAATTAACTCTAACGAAGTTATAGTTGCAGATATGAATGGGGCGAATGCAAATTCATAATTTTAAAGATGTTACAAGTTTGTATAAGAAAAATTGTCCTTTTGTTTCCAGAAAGAAGAATAAAGATGATAAGGATTTTAGAATGTCAGAATGTGTCTGGCTTCAAGTTAAACATGACCAGCCCGGAATATTATCTTATAAAAATACATTCGAAGGAGATTTTTGCGAAATATCTTTCATCCGAAATGCTTCTAAGTGGATTCAATTCCCACAAAATTTACCTAGTGTAAGTCAAAGTGAAAAACCCATATCTACTGCAAAATACAATGATTTGATGAGTCTTTTACAATGGATTCCACAGGAATTCCATACATATTATAAAAATTTTAAACATTTGGAGAGTGAGGCAGATTATCCTGAAATTTATTGAATTTTATAATTAATTTTAATAATTTTTACTGAGAAGAATATATTTTTATGTATAAGTTTTGATTATTTTAATAATTAAATTTTGTTAATTCCGACCTTATATAATATATAATTAAATGCTAGACAGATGGATATCATAACAAGATTGGGCTTAATTAAAGTTCTATTTTTTTGACAAAGATAATGTTACATGTTGTAAAAAAGCTTATAATACACATTCAATTTACCAAAATATTGCAAGCATAATGTTGGATCACTACGTTGAATTAAAATGATCCGTCTTTTTATAACTCTTTACGAGCATAAAGTTGGATGTCACCAAAAACGTAGTTTTTGTTTAATAAAATATTATTATTATTCTGTGACTAGTTTTATTACTATACTCATACAAAGTTCGAAGACTTGTCCTTAACATTTCACTATTTTTGTTAGCTTTATCGAAAATAAACAATAGATTTGACACGATTTCATCAAAAAATTTATTTTGGCTCTCCTCTAAGCTTGTTAAATTCCATATCCGACCTAATGCGTCTCAGGTCGAGCATTATTATCATCTATTTTATTTATATTATTGTTATTACCATCATTATTGTCATTATCATTATTACAGTCCATCACAAATCCAAAACGGAACAAAGGCGTTCTATGGAATGCCACAAAGCAAAGCGGCTCTGGGCCGTGCTTCTGCATCCGTCCACTTCTGCTGCATGTTGCATGCATGCTTATATCTTTGTATTATTGATATTATAGTCTGTTTGTATGGATGTTTGTACCAACATTAATCATCATCATTATCATCATTACAACCTTTGACAAGTCCACTGCTAAACATTGGCCTCTCTCGAAGTTTGCCACAAAGCACCGATACGGGGCTGCCAGTAGAGAACCTTGCTTCCCTATCAGTTGTCCCGGTCATATGTTCTTCGAGCATATGACCGGCCAATTGCCACTTCAGCTTACTCCTCTCCTACCTTTGGGCTATGTCGGTTACTCTGGTTCTACTGCATATATCCTTATATTTCTAAGTTTATCACGCAGATAAACTTATAGCCCTCACCATAAGCCTATATTTTATGCTAACGTCCGTTCCTTTATCTGTGCGGAGAATCGTAAGTTCAAAGATGTTTTATAGGTACAGATACCGTGTACGCGCGCCTAAAACGCTTCCATTTAAAAGGCGCCAATATTGGCGTATTCGTTCGATCGTTCCGCCATTACGCCAGCGACGTTCACTGCGAACGTACATCACGCACCAGTGTTTTTAATTTCACAAAATGACTGTTTGTGCTATGAAATCATGTAAAAATTACTCTTGAAAAAAAGATAAGGATAAGAACATCACTTTTCATAAGTAAATATACAATTTTCTGGTGTATTTCTTGATAAAATAATACGAAAGCTGAATGTCAATGCAAGTAATAATACTGCGCAATAATATTCGAGTGTTGCCTACCGTATGAAATGTTTTTCCATATTTAAATCTCATTAATAAATGTAAAGCAACTATTGACAACGGATATTTATCCAAAGCAGCCGATACGCAACCGTTGTGAACCGGTTGTTTAACCGGTTATTTAATCTAGTCATGAAACTGATATATGAATTTAATAAAAACATTTGCTATCTCTTGGCCGAAGTTAACTTTTACGGTTACGCTTAACCAAACTTACTTTTGTACGTCATTTTACTTAAGATTAAAAAATAATTAATGTCTTCATAAAAAGCGACAATATTTTGGGTTCTAAGATACGAAAGTGTAGTACTCTATATATATTCAATAATAATAGATTAGTTCAATATATGTTAGAAACATAAATATCTACTGTGATTTTTATTTATTTTTAACTGCTACATTAATTATATCTAGCTTTTATTACTTATCTTCACTATTTTGGTGCGATTTTCGTACCTACATAAAACACATATAACCACCCATATCACTTGTGTGTGTATATCCCCATTCACATACGGACACAAATGCACACGCCTCGCACACACATTTTACACTCAGGTATGTCAATATAAATGAAATATAAAATCTCCCAAATTTTTGGGCAATCGATTTGCACTATTATTACCGAAGTCACGCAAACTAATGCAGGCATGGTACGTAAGATATGCGCGTCACGTGGTACTCACGCACACATGAATCAAAGACTGGCGTCACTGTAAACGGTGCGATGTGTTAGCAACACGGTATCTGTACCTATAAAACATCTTTGCGTAAGTTCTAGTCTGTTGCGTAAGTTGTACAACGCTTCAAATTTGTCTTTGGGAGATTTAGTCTCTGCGCTAAACTTCCACGTAACAAGGACGAAATGTCTTGACGTATGACCTCTAAATCCGTATTTTTAAACAGACAATTCTCAACACTACAGATATTTTTTCTTACGAGATTCTGCGCGGTGCAAGTGCAAAATTCAAGCATTTCGTTGTCGGTCGGTCATTCTTCTTCTTCGAGTACAAAATATACTTTCGACAGATTATAGACCGAGCATTGTTTATTTTTCGAGTCTGAGGTCAACGTTTATATTGATGTTTTGCGTTTGATTTGATCGTTAATTTTGGTATATTTTTAATGTTATTCAAGTTGATTGGATCGCGATTTTTGATTTAGTGATAATAGAGCATTACGTCTCCGATTCGCGTTCGATGTGTGTAAAATAAGTAACCAATAAAATCTCAATATTTTGTGTCTTAATTTTCCCAAGTTGCTTTTAACTGAAGCAAGTGGTCTAATTAATCCTCAAACGCCTGTAGGTACTGCTATAGCAAATTATCATAATGCAATTCAGTGCGACAAACTCACTGATTTTGCATAAATCATTATTATCATTAAGGGGGGTTATTGATAGAGCATTCACATCTGGTTGAGCTGGATAAATATATAAAAGGAAATGATAATTGTATTATTATCATCATCATTATCATTATTACAGTTCATCACAAATCCAAAACTGAACATAGACAATTTCTATGGAATGCCACAAAGCAATATTTGTTAATAATTGGATTTGATTTCAAGGATGAAGGTAAGTATATCGCATAATATAACTTACACAGCACTCAGTTATGATTCGTTCGTTTTGTGTTGCAAGTAACTTAGTTTACTGGTGGGTACATGTAGGTGTCTAGGGGCCACAACAACCACCTACCATCAGGTGGACTGCCTGCTCGTTTGTCACTCTATCCTATAAAAAAAGTTGTGGCTAAGTTGCTCCTCCATTATTCAAGTTTACATAAAAACTTGTCAGGGTAGTCAAAAATTCTTAATTTTTTTATTTAAATCTTGTCACAATAATTTGTTCGGGAAATATTTAAAACATAACAAATAAAAATTGGCCCTTCTAAAATTATAAATAAAATTGATGCAATAATAAACTTAAATCTATGTATATATATATGTATTTTTATAACACTCGAACACTCTGAATTACTCCTTGAGCACTTATTATTAAATGCAATTACAAGTTTTAATTTTAAGCTATTGCATAGCTTCTATCGCGGGCCTTGAGCGCGGGGACCGAATCCAGAAATTCCGTAACGAAAAAGCCTCACGCTCCCTACTCCGACGGGCACGGAGGTGTGGCTTGAAGGCCGTGCATTGTCTAACGTCGTTTCTTTTCGGCAGTCTTCGACACGGTGTTTGTGTGCGTGCAACTAGACGTATTGTACGACTCTACGAAGCTCGCACGAATCGAGACGAGCTGCTCCGAAATCGGACGAATACATAAGCAGCTGTTTATGAGAAAGTATATAGGTGTATAGGTATTTATGTACAACAGTGAATAGCTGTACTTGTAAAATTTGTGTATAAAGTGTTTTGAATATGAATGAACAAAGTGCATTTATTATTTATTTATTTAATAAAAGAAAAAAATTTGTTTTCTTATCGGTCACCACGCTCAAAAAGTGTAACTTGAATTAATATCAAAGAAAAAGAAATACTGCATAAATAAAATAAATAAATAATTATAATTGCATAAGTTGATACAAAATGCTATGCAATAGCTTTACCGCGGCAGTCCCCGAGTGCCACACGTCTTTTTTTTGTTTTTGAAACTAATCTTAAGAAAACACGCATTTTGACGAAACAAAAAAAAACATACATTTAATATTAATCTGTCTGTGATTATAAGTCCGTTAGTTTGTATTCTGACACCGCGTGGACAACATTATTCTAATACAAAGAGTATAATATATAAAATGAAATTAGTACCTTACTATGTTATCGGAGTTTATTTTATTTTTTTTAGTCACTTTTTAAAGAGAGTGTTTTTAATAACGCAAAATCAGGCTTTCATTTCTCGGAAAAATTATCCATATACAGATTACGCTTACCAAGCGATTTTGAGAGCTCAAAACTGAGAATCTCGCATTGTTGAAGCATTTTGGTATTAATATTTTACCATAAGCCCTTCTATGCTGGCCCCGCCCGTCAAACAGCAAGGGGACCTTCTATCTCCTGTAAGTTAATATTTGTAAAAACATTGAATACTTTATCGATTTTGTCGCATTTAATTTACTTGATTTTAATTTCCAACGTTTCGTGTGCTTTCCAGCACCCATAGTCACGGGGGACTGAGGTGATTGACGTCCCGATGTCAGTGTTAACCCGGAGTACCTTCAGCTTTTTGTTACTTATGGTTGAATCTACGCAGAATAAACTTACTGTATCTTAAAGTCTTGTATACTTGGGTAAGGATAATGATATATATGCCCGTTTTTTTTTTACAAATATTAACTAAATGGTACCTTAAAACACCGCTTATAAACTATGGATATTATGCTATTAACTTGGAAAGGACAGGGTTTTAATAATAAATAAAACAGGATTGCTTTTAAAATATGTGCCGAATTTAAACAATGCTTTAAATTGGTTAAAGCAAAAGAATTTTGTAAAATATTCCACTTGCAGCTGTTACACTATAGACCCGTGGAATTTAAATGCGGCAAATTTATTTCATTTTACACAGGCTGCAGCATTGAAATGTTTTATAA